TGTGTGTGTGTGTGTGTGTGTGTGTGTGTGTGTGTGTGTGTGTGTACCCATAGAGGGCCAGAAGAGGGCTTCAGATTCATTGGAGCTGGAGTTTGAGAGGGTTGTGGGCAGCTGAACATGGGCGCTGGGGACCTAACCTGGGTCTTCTGGAAGAGCAGTAAGGATTCTTAACTGCATTTCTCCAGTCCCTCATTTCGTTTTCTAATAAGTGAAGACAGGCAGTGTTTAAAGCTCTCCATGGTTTCCTTGCTTCTGTTGACAGGTCCTGAAATGGAGCAGCTCTTCTCCAGTGAGAAGAAGTAACACAAGTGTTCTCTTCTTAGCCGGCTTTCAGAACAGAAGACACCCAGCAAGACCTTTAGCTTGTGGTTCACCTGAAAACATTTGTGTGAGGTTTTCCCTTCTCCAATCAGTTTTTAGATCTTTCATTTTGATCTTAGGTTTTTAGGACACTTTAGACTTTATTATGCTTTTTTGAATAAGAATTTATGGTTTGCCATTCTTTATAGATGGTTCTACATCTAACTATTTATCCAGACTTGGATAGAAAATATTTGAAAAATCTTGCATCTGTTCTGAACATTTACAGACCCCCCATTATTCCCTAAAAACACAGTGTACAGCGATCAGGAGGGATCTCACTCATGCCAGCCACAAAGGCTTTACCACTGAGCTATGTGCCCAGACCCACCTGAAAGCACATGGGGAATGTTTGTGGGCTTTACGGGAATGGAACATCATTTGAGGAAGGTACTTGACATCCACAGATTTTAACATCAATGGGCTATCCTGGGACTGGCACCCAAAGATACTGACATCCACAAGATGTCCTGGTATGCCCTGAAGAACCCTGACATCTGTGAGTGTCTGATATAGACTCCCAAGGATATTGACATCCATAAAGTGTCCCATATGAATCTACAAGTGACATTTGTACCCACAAGGTGTCCTGGTACCAACTGCCAAGCATACCAAGGGACAGAGTAGTTCCTTCTCTTGTTGGTATTAAGAATCAGGGTCATAAATGGAAAGAGTATATTGAACAACTGTACTGTGACTCTCAGTCTCATGGATCATCAATGTTTTGAGTTGTTGGCTTTTTCTAGCAGCCCTGGACACTGGAAGAGTTCATCAACTCTGTTACAGGGAGAAGAAGGAGGTGTGGAGAGATACAGAGTGCAGGCTTTAGAGAATCTTGTGATTAACTATAGTGTTTAGATATCAGCTTGATGCTAATCTAAAAGATTAGATTCTGTATCACTCTAAACAACCTATAAGACGTACAATAGTGATGATATGAACAATCAGAGTTGCCCTGACTCCAACATGATCAGCTGATAAGCCTGTGCCTTCAGACATCATAACTTCTTGACTTTGCAGGGGACTTTTGGAAGAATTGTCTGTCTGTTAAAGTACGTAGTATTAAAATCTAAAGAATGATGACATTTCAAGATGTACAAGCCATGTAGTGGCTAAAAAGATACAGAATTTAGGTTGGCTATGGTCATAGTTACTACTTTGTGTCAACTTTATACAAACTTAAATCTACTGGGGAAGAGGGAGTCTCTGTTGAAGAATTGCTCCCACCAGATTGGCCCGTTGGCTTGTTTGAAGGGTACTTCTTGATTGCCGATTGATACAGAAGGACGCAGCCCACTGTGGCTGGTCTCCCCTAGGTAGGCAGTTTTTAGCTGTATAATAAAGTAGCTGAGCAAGCCAGGGAGATCAAGCTAATAATCAGTGTTCCTCCATGGTTTCTCTTTCGAGCTCCTGCCTTGAGTTCATGCCATGGCCGCCCTAGCTGGTGAACTGCAGCCTGCCAGCCAGATGAACTCCTTCCTCCCCAAGTTGCGTTTGGTCAGAGGAAAAGAACTATGAGTCAGTTACTCCCAGTCTTCAGGGAGTATATTCAAGGACAATATTACAGGAGAGGGCAGACTGAAATTCTGGTTCCTTTGTCTCACTTGGTGGAATATTCAAAGTCAAAGAATGCTATGGAATAGCCACTTGTGTGTCGCTCGAGTTTTCCTGCCTTGCCCACAGTCAGGACAAATCTTTGTCACCCGCCAGTCCCACAGCCGCTCAGACCCAACCAAGTAAACACAGAGACTTATATTGCTTACAAACTGTATGGCCGTGGCAGGCTTCTTGCTAACTGTGCTTATAGCTTAAATTAGTCCATTTCCATAAATCTATACCTTGCCACGTGGCTGGTGGCCCACCGGCATCTTCACATGCTGCTGGTCATGGCGGCATCTGGCAGTCAGTCCTTCTGCCTTCCTGTCCTTTTATTTCTCCTCTCTGTTAGTCCCGCCTATCCTTCCTGCCTAACCACAGCCGACCAGGTTTTATTTATTGATCAATCAGAACAACTTGACATACAGACCATCCCCCAGCACAGCCAAGTGCAGACCATCTCAGACACCTGCACTCAGGCCCATGGTCCTAATCATCCTCTATGCGGACCTGCTGGGTAACGCCACAAAGAACCCAAGAAGGGCTCCCACAGGACATACAGAACATCCCACAGCACTTGTGGTCCAGTTTAATTCTGATAGCACTGTACTAACATGCTGTACTGAGAAATAACTTTTAAAGGAGCAGCCAGCAAGGTTAGTGGAATCATCGAGGCAATGTAAAAGACTGAAATATTAGGCAAAACCTTCCAAAGCCATTATTTTGGACAGTCAATTTGAATGACCAGGCCTCACCAAAAAAAAAACAAAAAACAAAAAACAAAACAAAACAAAACAACAACAACAAAAAAAACCCCCGCAGAAATTTCCGGCAAAGAACCTAGCATGGAAATAGCAACAACATCCATCACACCCTGTTCACCAAGCTCGTGTGCTGCCAAACTGTAAAGTGGCTGACAAATACCCTCCTAAGCCTGTGCCTATGCCCAGGCTGTTTCTAAAGATTGGCTGGAAAAAAATGCAGCACCAGGCACACTGCACAGACACTGTGCGAACGTGTCCTATTAAATGCTTCAGTTTCTTGATTTACAGGAAGGGCACCAAGAGAGAAGGTGAAGAGCGAAGCCCCCACGGTTATAGATTTTTTTTTTGTTAGACAGAGAGAAGACATAGGACATGTTCTTGGCGCACTGCTCTGTGAGACTGTCAGTGAGACGGTCCAGAGCTGCTCTGAGGTACCCAGGTGGACAGGTCCTCAGACGTGCAGCAGGCACAGCAGTAGTAGGGCGCACAAGTGCAGAACGCTCTCCCTTAATCGTTAATGTTTACTCAATGAAAACAGAGGATAGAACACTATGGTGACATTCAAGATGAAGACGGGCCAGCAGATGCCTGGACTTTTAATATCAGGTTTATATTAGATTACTCTATTCGGTGGTTTTACACAACTTATCACAGTTCCTTCCCATTCTCTCCTTTCTCCTCCCCCTCTCCTTCTTCCCCATCCCTGTCACATCTCCCTTTCTTCCCCTTTTCTCTTCCTTCCCCTCCCCTTTCCTCTTAGCCCTCTCCTTTCCCATCTCCTCTACTTTTCCTTCCCCCTCTCACCCCTCCCCTCCCTTTCTCTTTCCTTCACTTGTTTTCTGAGACAAGGTCTCAATTTGTAGCAGGCTGACCTCAGACTTTCCATCCTCCTTCCTCATCACCACCCCCAACAATTAAGATTACAGGAAATGACAATTTCTAATTTATTTATTTATTGATGGATCCAGCGGAAAGCCAATCTTTGTTGTCTATTTAAAACATCCCTTGGAATCCATGTCTTTCCTATAAAGACCTGCCACTCTGTGAAATAGCTAATCGGATCATCAGTCCACAACATTGCAGTTTTAGAGTGCGACACAGGCTGAGTGCCACCTCCAGAACTCTCCTGATGGAATTTTAGATCCAGGGTGCAATTATTGCAAGAGTGTCAGTGCCCTAGCGGGTCAGGAGGCCTCGGTCAAGCAGTGGTGCAGGAGCAGCTTCCTGGAAGGGTAAGGTCAGCTCATTCCCTCATTTCTTGCTTGTGACTGCGGGTCCTTTTGTCATGCTGCAGTGCAGATGAAGACCTTCCCCACATACCAGTTCTATGTTGATGGACTTGTCAGCTTTCAGAATCATGAGTTTGATGAAGTTCTCTTATTTATAAATTATCCAATCTGCTGTATTCTGAAATAGTCACAGAACATGAAGTTAAGACACGGAATGAAAAATGGACAGGTAGTGTGATGACTAGTCTTGGTTGTCTACTTGGCTACATGTGGCTTCAACTAAAACCTAAGTAGTGGGCACACCTCTGAAGGGTTTTCTTGATTGGATCATTCTTGAGCTGGGAAGATCCTCTCTAAATTTGAACCACACCTTCTGCTGGTAGCCCATACAAAAGGCCACGGAAGAAGGAAATTTTGCTCTTTTGTCGGCTTGTACTCATTCCCAATGGCAAGTTCATCTATCCCATTCCTGAGGCATTCCTTCCCTGGTGTTAGAACCTACTTCTTTGGATTCTAGCATACACTGAGTACCAGCATCTCTCTAGGCATTCCCTGGGATTCCAGCACCAAATTGGGACTGCTGAGACTCCTAACCTTGTGGACTCAACCAATATCAGACTCTTGGCCTTTTCATTGGGCCCAGTCAGAGCATAGCCTGTACCCCCATTTTAATAACCACTCCCCCATACACACACACACACACACACACACACACACCCCACACACACACACATTCTATCTGTTCTGTTCCGTTACAGAACTCTAATATGGGCAGACAGTTATTAAAGATTTTGACTTCAGTTCCTTTGGATGTAGACCCAAAAACAGGGTTGCTAAATTATATGGTAGATCTGGTTTTATTGTTTCATTTTAGAAATGTAATACTGATTTCCATGGGGGGATGTACTTACTTGCAACATTCAGGGAAATGTGTTTACTTTTTCCAAGGAATTAGTTACAATGAGTTACCACATTCCCCCTCTCTTAGTTCTGAGATTTGTTAAATAGATTGAATAAACACATATAAAACTTTGACTTGGTGACTTGGGAAACTTTATTTTCATTGTGTTGCCAAATTTGTTATGATTTTCATTAAAAATGTGATTATCATTCTCCTAAAACACAGAACCAATAGGATATAGATAGATGGATGGATGTGTGGGTTGGCTGGATAGCTGGATGGACAGATTAATGTGGGGGGTAGGTAGATGAATAGACAGGTTAGTAGATGGATGGATGGATGGGTAGGTTAATAGATGAGTGGATGGATGGATGAATGGATGGTGTCTTAGTCACCATTCTATTGCTGTGAAGTGAATTACCAAGACAACTATTACAGGAGAAAGCATTTAATTAGGGGTTTGCTTACATTTTTAGTGATCTAGTTCATTATCATCAGGCAGGGTGGGGATCATGGCAGAATGCAAGCAGGTATTGGAGCAGTATCTGAGGACTACATCCTGATCCACAGGCAGAGATAGAGATAGAGATAGAGATAGAGATAGAGATAGAGATAGAGATAGAGATAGAGATAGAGATAGAGATAGAGATAGAGATAGAGATAGAGATAGATAGATAAATAGATAGAAAGAGAGAGAGAGAGAGAGAGAGAGAGAGAGAGAGAGAGAGAGAGAGAGAGAGAGAATCAGAAACAGACAGATAGACAGACTCTGGGCTTGGCATGGGCTTTTGAAATCTCAAAGCCTACCCCCAATGACACACTTCTCCCAACAAGGCTACTCCTCCTAATCTTTTCAATCCTTACAAATAATGCCACTCCTGGTGACTAAGCATTCAATTATATGTATCTAGGAGGGCCATTATTATTTAAACCACCACAGATGAGCAGATGGATGAACGGACAGACCGGTAGAAATGTGGACACATTTATTATGGAAAGTGTTCATGTGACTACAGTGACCAAAGAGTTTTGTAAT